CCTCCCTTCCTCCCTCCCTCCCTCCCCCCCTCCCCCCCTCCCCTCCATTTCGTCCCACTCCTACATGACTGCACCTGGTTTACTCCCAGAGGTCTGCTTGTTCATACCCCTCAGTCAGCCTCTGTCTCTAGAGGAATGAGACCAGTGAAGAAAGAACCAGCCAGAGTGAGCTCTTCACTGGGAGAGGAGGAAAACCCTGGAAAATATGCACTTTATTTTGAATTCACCAGCAGTGCAGGTCCCCAGCTAAGAAATAAGAAATAGAAGGCACTGCAATATGACAGCACTTTTTTCATCATGAAAAATGGACATCATGGTCCTCCCCCTTTTTCATCCTCTCTTCATAAGGCACAGAATGGGCAGAGTCAGGAATACAACTAGCACAGTTTTATACACCAGGCAAATCTACAACCTGAAAGTGTAATGCAAATTTCTACCTGTTTCAAAGTACTTCCTATTTTAAACACTTGTTTATATTTTTTATTTGTATTACCTTTTCTGCTATTCCAAGCAGAATAGCAGAAAATATCTTGAGGAAGACTTCTCAAAAATTTACCAGAAACCGATCTGAAAGGAAGAGGATGTTGTTAGCATTACAATATTGGTTAAGTGCCTGTAAAATGAAAATGTTATTTTGTCTAAGAATTTGCAGTGGCATGTCCCATTTCAAGACAGAGTTTTAGTTCAGTCACCTAAAGTAGGTGAAGCTGGTGTGGTCCACCTGAATTTGATTAGATCTCTTTCCAATAAATAGAATTAGTATTATTACTAATTTAGCAGAACAACACCCAGATTATATTAAACCTTTTAATATAATCTACAAATAACTGTCATAAATTTTAAAATAAATCTTTCTTGGCCTTCGTTTTATAAACCTGCTTTCTTCATGGCATTAGTATTTGCAAAGAGATTTTTCTAAGCAGTGTTCCCAGCTATATGGTTACTTATATAGGCAGGCAGCTTTAAGCCATTTCTGGAATCACCTTTTTGCATCCTGGACATCTTCCAGAATGTTTTTCAGAAGCCAAGTAGGAGTTAGCTGTAGCAAGTTCATACTGTTGTGCACTTCATAGAGCATTTTTTTTTTGTACCATCAGGTCCATAATTTCCTACATGCATCACCCATGGCATAATGTATACAGTCCATTACCACATAATCATATGATTCAGTGCAAGGCATGAAATCAGATTTATGCTTTCCTAGTTGCCTCAGAAAATTTCTGTCATGTTTTAAGAAAAAATGAATCTATGCTGTGAAAAAATGCTAGGACAAGCAAACTCCATTTATTATTGATAATTTGGACATCTACAGGCATATAAGGCAGTGAATGAGCATGAGCTTGAATTATTGCAAGTATACAGTGGTATTAATACTGAGCATGCATGGGCAAGACAGCTCAAAGGTCTTAAAGGTATTAAATAATGCTTCTGTTGAAACAGAAATGCTCCATCAAACAACAAAACATGGAAAAAACCAGAATGTTACTGTCTGTCTTTGTTTTTATACTTATTGGCACCCAATAAGCAGACAGTCCAACCTTATCCATCTGAGACCACCAGCTGAGTCTGGGAGGTACAGAGGTTCCTGAGGGAGCTTCAGGCAGGAGTGCTGAGTGCTCAGACTATGGGACATCCTGGATTCCAGACCTGTCTATGTCTCAAATCTATCTCTGTTAGCAGCTACCAGACTTGGGCCTTATATTTGGTTTGAGAATGTAGAACAGTGAACCAAAATAAAAATTTGGAGAAAAGTGAAATGGAAAATAGTCTGAATAAGTAGTTTTGTACTACATAAGAATTAAATTAAATTGAAAATATTGAAGTTGTCAGTGAACTGTTAGAAGAATTTGATGATTTTATTCTTTTACCAATCTCAATCCATCTGTGATTCAGTTGATCATACCTTTTAAAAGCCATTCTAGCAAGAATCTAAACTTTTTGATTACTTCCTTCATGTTTCTAGGGAAATGAATAAACGTCTTACAGAGGAGCAAGCAAAGAAAACCTATGATCGAGCAATTAAATTAGAACAAGAATTTGGAGAATATTTCACAGGTATGTTCTTATTAATACAATTTTTTTTCTCAATGTATTGTCTTCTATTGCAAAACTACTAGATCAACTCTGTCTTTGACCTAGAGCACCTATCAGTATAGTGTGCCCAGAGCAAGGACTTCTGCCTTGAGAGTATTGTTTCTTTGAAATTTAAGAGCAGTTGACTTAGGTTGAATTAAGGAGGCACTTGACTCCTCAAAAGTTTGATGTCCTGAGAGAGTATCTATGCCAAGGGAAATTGAGGGTTGAAAGATTGTAAAAATCAGAAAGGTTGTAAATCTGCTGCTGCCCACTGCTGAAGTAGGTTCTAAATCAAATGAAGTGTGGGAATTCCAACAGTGGGAATCTCTTGTGCTGCCCTCTCCAGGACAGAACTGCTAGTTCTCTGAACTAATCTGGCTCGGTCTTCTCAGTACGAGCAGTGGGATGGGTCTCTGTCATAGGCAGGTGCCATTGATTTGAACTTTGTTGTCATCTGCAGGGGTATGACTTTTCCATAACCAACATCTCAGTATGCCAGTATTCATTCTTATTCCATGAGTGTCTATGAGTATGCTGAAGATCTGCTGACACTGGATGATGTATCTCTGAATTAAAATAAATATTGATATGTTTTCTCTACTGCAGCTATTGTCCAAGGAGATAGCTTAGAAGATATATATAATCAATGCAAACTTGTAATTGAAGAACAATCTGGGCCTTTCATCTGGATTCCTTCAAAGGAAAAATTATAAATTAGCCACTGCACCTCTGATTACGACGGGAGAATATTTAGAAGAAAACTATAATATACTATTTGGAGGCTTTCCTGTTTTTGTTGCATTTATGTTCTTTGCAGTCAATGTGAATTTTGATGAATGTACAACACAAAGTGTTTGAAGCCATGAAGGACACTGATGGGTCAAAGGGTAGGAACAAAAAGACTTCTACCATATAAAGCAAATCTGTTGTGTGCTCAGAGCACGAGTTGTAGGTATAAACTTTTGACATGGAGACCCTCTGTCAAGGGGAGCTAAGCCACCTCCCGTGCCCACGCGGACATTTTGATCAATTTCAATGGCTGAGCTCAGTGTGTTGATTGCTTTAGAGAAGTTCCCAGCTCTTGAACCTCATATAGGGCTTGATCCTGCAAGGCGCTCAGCACTTGACCCCAATTCCTACACATGAGTAGCCTGTTGACTTGGAGTCGCTTGTGACCCTTCCCTATGCCATTCAGTCCCACCAGTTCCAGTAGGACTGTTCACGTGCTCAAAGCTAAGCACAGGCTTAAGCATTTTTGCTAGACCAGGGCCACATGCACCTTGCAAAATCAAGCTCAGAGTATTTGGTCCACGTCCTACTGAGGTCACTGTTAGGACACTGTGACCTGACTGGGAAGTGGGTCCTGTTCTAAGCTTGTCATTGCACATTTGTAGTTGGTACACCTCGACTTTGGTAACTATGCACATCTTTTGATTTCTGAAACCAAGTCAAGCATTTCTTTTTTCCCCTTTGGAAGCACTATTGCATCAGGAGCTACCAACAATATGGTTTATTTTGATGGTGTTTAGGGGTGGGAGAGGATGGAAGCATTTCACATCACACACACATGCACACAAACACATTCCCATGCGGACACACACATGTATGAGGATTCACAGCATCTATGTTAACAAGGAGGGATACAACTGGGAAAAGCTTTAAAATTTTTGATTGTCTATTTTATCATTTATATTGATAGAAGGCACTTAAAGATGGAATAATTTATAAAAATAAAAATATATTGATGTATAGAAACTAATTTCTATAGGTAAAATGTTTTTGTGAAGATATTTTGTAAAGATTAATTAATTGAAAGATTAAATATTTACACCCTTGTGCGACTGTCAAATGTAAAGAGGACCATCAAGTTGCATTATACCTCTTCCATAACAGATTCTCTATTATTAATGACAAGCAAGATAATTCCTTAAATTGTAGTTGTCAGCTTGTTTTTCTTTCAATTTAATCCTCTCCCTTGCCTCTGTTTAATCATGATGAACTTCTGTGGAAAGATCTCTTGAACTCACTGCCCTGTAGGAATTTTCTGAACACAAAAGGACAATGCATCTTTGAGAGGGGCAACTATTCAGAAGCAAAATGTCAGTGCTTAAATGCAGTTAATAATTTCTCTCTTAGGAAGGAGGCATCCTTAATCCCCAAATGTTTTATGATTCTTTCTGTTTCGTTCAGGGAAATAGAAAAAGCATTTGATCTTTCCTCTCTTTTCAGGCAGGTCACCAACTAACTTGTATCTTCATTCATTTCACAGTCAACAAGGGTCTTAAAAGCAAAAACTGAGGCAATAGACATTTGTGAGGGATTTGGGGAAAGTCTGTGGAATTGCAGTTTGGGATGTATGGAAGGAGAGAAGGACGTATTTTTTTCTCATTTCACATTGCCCTTCTTCTGTATACTAATGCCATTCTTCACTAACTTACAAGGGGACAACTGCAACAGATGCTATGACAGTAAAACTGAATTGTGTTTGCTGCTGCTGCTGGACCATGTTCTCTTTAAAACCCACGCTCCTGCCTCTGCTGCACTGCAGGAGCGTCATGCTTATAGCTGGTGGCTACAGCAGCCCTAATGCTTACAGATGTCTTAAGGGCAAATGCTGAATAGACTCCTCTGGCACTTGTCTGTCTGAAGCTTACATTGCTACACCCTGTCCAGCTGACAGGTCTACCCAGCCACCTTCCGCGGACAGCGCGATGAGCTGGATGTTTGCAAAAGCCACCAGCAGTGACAGGGTTAAAAATACGGGCATTTTAGTGGCTCTGAGCGGGCCGCTCATGCTTATTGCCCAACTATGGTAACTTTGAGAAGTTCACACTTCTTTAACTATTTTTCTTGCCTGGCCAGCGCAGATGTATAAACAAGGGTTTCAGTTCAGTCTCCAGAAGAGCTTTGTAATCAGAAGGGCTATAAACTTTTTTTTTTTTTTTTTAATATAAATTAATGAATGCTTTGATTTTGGATAATTTTGCAGAAGTCCACAGAGTGGCCCCAGATCTTTGAAAGCCATGGATTTTTCCATGCTAGCAAAATACTATTGCCCCAGGTTGGGAAATAGTCCACCAGACCTGAAAAATCAAGTATCCTAAAGCAGGAACTTCATTCTAATTTTCAGCTCTGTTTTTAAGCAATCAATCACATCTGCTTCTTTGTTTCTTAGTTCAGCATGCAGCCTTTTATGGTACTATCCTATTAGTAACTGTTTTGCTTTGTCATGTGCTGTGCTTTACGGTGAACAGTAACACTACGGCTGAGTACAATCAATTTTTCCATCAGTCCTTGGTTACTGTAGTAACATTATTTATTTTTCCCTGTCTGTTGTTTGTGCTTCCATTTTAGAGTTGACATTGCACTTCTTTTTTTTTTTTTTTTAAATAAAACATGTATTTAAAAATAAATCGTCAAGAGAATCAGTGAGAGGTCTTATTTCCCTTAGGACTTGTACTCCCATTTGTTTTGTGTGTTGATGTTTTGCGTTCCATGTTGCAGCATCCTCAGAGCTGCAGTTCATTTTTGCATTGCAGCTGTTCAGATCATACTGGGTGGTAGTGGGAGGAGGAAGAAAAGTATAAGACTCATGTAAAATTACATCTGGTGAAAAAGAAAAAGTCCAAACTCACAACCCACAGCAATTGGCGCCTGACTCCATATTGGTGCTAACACAGCTTAGCATAATCAGATTCCTTTTCTGTCCATGTAAAGGACTTGGGAGCATCTAACCATGAGACCAATGCAAATGCTGGACCCTTTAGGAAAAGTGCCAGATCACACCCCTGGTGCTATATCTCATGTTCTGGCACAGTGTGTAGCACCGTAGGGTCTAAGCAGAATCAAAATTATCACAGCTTTTTGTCCACCCATGAATGATCACAATGACATCTTGCTAGCTTTGTGCAGATGTGCAATATTACAACTTAATTATTTTTCCTTGCCACAAACAAAAAAATTAAAAAATCTTCCATGCACTGACTCATTGAGAGCTTGCTAACAGGGCTCAGTGGAATGGCACTTCTTCACTGGTCTTACAGTCAGACCATCAACCAGTGAAAGAGCCTCTTTCTTGCTTAATCCCCCTTCCTACAGAGGTACCCTGTCCATGCTAGCGCTTTGTATTTTCTTTGGTAGTAAAGGCTGTTTCTAGATCAATATTCTGTGATGTAATTGTGTTTGTAGCTAGCATGGTTTGATGCTCCGGTGTGGATAGGGTCCTAGGAACCACTCGGTGAAGGTCAAGGATAAGAAATCTCTCCATTGCACTGAAATTACAAATCCTCATCCTGGAGAGCAGTGTGGTACCTGAGCTAATAACCACTATGAGCCAGCGACAGTGTCCTAGGTATGCAACATCCACCTACCTATTTACATTAGTTTTCTATGGAGAAACTGTTGGCATTACAACTTCGCTGTTACTCGCTCATCAGCACCCAGTCAAACTGTATTTTTGTTTTGGTTTTCTTGTATTTTAATTTTTATTGTTCAAATTGCATCTTTGACCAGAGGATTCAGCAAGTGAGAACACAATAGGATATTTGTAGGAAAAACCGTGTTGAGGAAAATGTATCAACCTCATTTTTAGATGCAGATTTAAAGCCATAAATATCTGCTATGTTCACAGAAAGTGGTCTTTTATCCTTCACAGCTTTTAATCTCAAGATTTTCCCTCTTGCACATTTTGCCTGTCATCTTATGCATGTGGTTCACTGTGCAACTGCATGCAAGTGCTCAAGCCCATTCCTTGGTGGAATAAACCATTATTTTCCATTAAAATTCAAACATTTTTTCAATTGGTTCAGAAATAAGAATGAGGTCATTATGCTAAAAAAAGAAAGTTTCCATTCTAGGAGACAAATCAGCATCAAAGCTATCAACAGATAACATCTAAAATCTCTCCAGTATATAGCTAGCCTAGATCCTCAGCCGGTGGAAATCACAGTCACTCCTCTGATTTCAATGGAGTCCATCCCATTTATACCACCTGAAGTTAAACATCCATCCTCCTCATCACACTGATATTTTTTGCATCTCTGTAAAACACCAAGGCCACCTGATTAAACACTAAGTGCGGCTCAGCACTTTCCATCACTATTTACTGCTTATTTTACTGTAACACCCAAAGGGCCAAGTCGTGGACCAAGATTTTTTTGAGGCCAGTGCTGTGAAATTGGTAACAAAAAGACACCCCAAGGGCCAAATGGATTTGCAGAAGGCTTCAGCTGCACTGACATGTCACCAAGAACTATAGGAACTACCACTTCATTTGCCCTTTTTGAGACTGTCTTTAAGGTGAAAAGCGGGATAGGCGATCCATCATCTCTCACACTACATTAGCAGCTTACACCTTCTGGCCCTACAGCACAGGCAACTTGCCCTGATGTAAAACAGCCCTGATGGGAGCCAGCATCCTAAGCAAGATCTTTGGTGGGGGGGAAAAAAGCATTAAAAAAAGGGGAAAATAATGGCAACACTGTTGGCTCTTAGTGGGATAGCAGCCTTCTAATTTCTGGACTTGTGCTCCTAAATTTGAATTGGCCAGTTTGAATTTCTGAGTGCAGCAGCCTGTACGCACCAAGCTGCTCCCTCCAGCACAATGTCCGGTGCGTGTCTCTTTAGCAGGATGTTTCTAAATCCAGCTGTAGTGTGGGGTACTCAGAATCTGAACTGGAGTTTACAAAACACCCTGTCCAGCTTACACTCCTGTTATGTGTAAATACTCTGCGCATCCATTTCATTTGTGTAAAGAATAAAGCACACACAATTATAAAAATTAAGCTGTATATTTCATACTAGCTGTGTCCTTGCTTATTTATTCCGGTCCAAGCTCTCAGCTGTGGTTCAGTTGTAAATGCTTGATAGAGTGTTTATAAATATGTCATGAATTTTATTATAAAATATTAATATTAAAGCATTTTTACACTTTATAGCAAATGGCTTCTTCACAAGGCATAATTTGTCTTTCTTCCTTGGAGCAGAATAGTAAAAGAGAAATACAACGCTTTTATTTTGTCTTGAGAAATTATCATATCTATCACACAAGACAGACACAAGTCTAGAATTAGGAGGATGTTTTGAAAAATGACTAAGACACCTTTTTCCTTCTTGCTCTTTTTTATTTCTTTTTCACTTCACACTGATATGAAAGTTGCCACCAAGAAGAGTCATCCTGAATCCTGAAGTACAAGCACTTTCTCCTTACCACAGTTCTGCTGTGAATTCAGTATCATCAGCATCTTGGTGAATAATTACCAGAATATTTTTCATAATTAAATAATCATTACATGTTTATGACATCACTGCACAGCTATGGGGAAAAGGACTGTAATAATTACATTATAGCTGCTTGTGAGCAGTTTAGTGGAGTATAAACTCACTCGTGCTATGGGATCCCAACAGCTCAAGAACTTTGGGGTTTGGCCATTCCAGGAATATCTTTGCAGATGGTTTGTGGGCTCCGGGGAGGCCATGTGAACATTGTCAGTCCCCAGCAGAGGCCGTAACATGATGGGGACACTGTTTTTGACACAGACAGTACTATCTACAGTCCACAGAGGACCACAGAGCCTCCATATGGCTCTGGGAGCCACAACTGAGACTATAGGGAAAAACTCTCGACACAGGGTTTTACATGTGCAATCACAAGGATGGTTAATTATGTAAACATTCATTGTGATGCTTTAGATGTCTCCAATAGATTCAAAAGAGGGAGATAATCCAAACAATTGACATTTAGCAGGGTCTTTTATT